TTTCGAAACAATTAAGATAATATATTGTGCAATATTCATATTTAAGGAAAGTATAAAAATTAGAAAAAAAATAAGAACTAATTAAGCGGAGAGCAAATGAGATATAATGTTTTCAGACTTAATCTTTAAAAAAGGTCACAGTTCAATATGTGCATTTAAAAGGATGGCTGCGCACAAAATACACATTAACGAAGTGTGACAATTCACTAATCACTAATCTCTCATTTTCAATGTTAAGCAAGAAACCCGAATTTTTAATTGTTATTCTAAAAATAGCAACTATCCTTATCAGTATGAAAATTTGGTTAGTTGTTTTAATCTTGCTTCTTTCAAATATTACTAGTTAATTCAGTTCACATATTAAATACAGGCATTACAGTAGTTTTAAAACGGATTTAAATGATCATGTATTTTAAATTGCGCAATTTAAGCTATGACAGTTTTCTTAAACACCCATTCAGATCTACGTTTATTTTTTCAAACAGGCATTTCAAACTATGAATATTTCTTTTAATTTGCAGTTAGAGCAATGTTTAAAATAAAATAAATGCACTGTATTTTTTGAACTATAACAGAAAACATGTCAAAAAGTTGCAATCTTAATTTTTGAAAACATTTATAGTAATTAAGACTACAGTATGAAGCGAAATTATTAACATAATATTTTAACACACAGTATCAAAATATGTGCTAAATTCTAGCATATATTCTTCGTGTGACTTCGTTAATGCATTTTGTTAACGTATAAAACATGATTAGCAGGAAATAAATAGTCAGGTCAGTTTTTGAAATGAAATAAAGGCCGTTATTAATTCAGGATGATTCAAGTTTTACGTGTTTTTACAAGAGCTATGAAACATTATGTTTTTTCAAGACTTATGAAATTTAATTTCTTATACACAACCTGACGAATTCAAGAATTATGACTTCTTTATTAATAACCTGAAATGTTTTTTGAGTAATTGCAATGTAACCTCATCCCTATATTTCACATGGTTCTAATCACCTATTATTTTGTACTTGAATATTGGAGAATATAGTATTTAAGAAAAAAAATCAAATAATTCTAATTTTTCTTAAAATTTAAAAGCAATAAGGATGCTTTTGGTAGTGCAAGAACCAAGTATAAATGTAAAATTGAGATTATAGCACGACCCACCCTATTTGTTTAGGGTATACGTAATATTTCTGACCCGTCGCCGCGGCAGGCCCACCCAGAAGAGGGGGCGCAGGCTCAATCTGTGCAGGCCGGGGAACCCGGCGAAGCCCCAACATGGCATTCATTATGATCAATCAAAATTTACTTTTTACATGGCAACATCCCGACAATTTGATGACAACAGGACTAGAATTAATACACTTTAATATTGTAACACCAGATGCCACATTGGACAATGATTAGAAATCCAAAGCATTAAACAAACAAAAATCCTCTAATTTAAAATAGGTCAAAGGACCCACATGAAATTAGTATTAAAGGTCAACAGACCCTTATATCGCTATACAAACCCTTATACAAATAACACCAATTGGGTGGCTGCACGCAGCAGTGCAGTACAGGGTTGATTACAAACAGGTCTAAAAAGGAAACACAACATAGAACAGTACACAAACAGTTAAAAGTAAACCCAAAAGGTTGATAAAAATAGTAAAAAACATGAATGTTAAAAGTTGGCAGAACATTGCCTGAACTATAATGAAAATGACAGAATACAGTTGGGTCGCAGAACAGATTTACAAAATTTTAACCCAAGAGAAGGCCAACAAGCAGGACCATATACATTACCATATAAAATTACCATAAAAGTTAAAAGATGATGATAAAAACAGTGATAAGTGGTTCAAAAGAGCCACGGAAAAATAAAACTAAGAAAATACAATTTCTTAAAGTACAGCAAATGTGCAGTAACAAACATGCTAAAAAGATTTGTAAATAGAGAGGTACAGTATAAATAGTAAGTAGTAAAATGCAGTAGAATACAATAAAACAGTACTAGATAAAGCCAATAATTAAAACTAGAATATACAAAGGTGGATTTAAAAGGTTGAGACATCCAGGTTGGGGTGGGTAGGTTCCGGGACCTTATGGGCTATCCCCTAAGACATCCTCAAGTGTTTGTTTAATGATAGTCTTGGTAATTTTTAACATTGATGATGATTAAGGTTATTGAAGTGATCGTCACCATAATAGTTACATTAGCTTGTTTTATTAAACAATTTGTTTTGATGTTCTCCGAACACTCCATGACCCGTTAAGATAAAAGCTTGCCGGCAGTCTATTGAGTTTCGGGCCTTTAGAGAAATAGTACGTCTGTCTCCCCTTCCATTCCTGTCTCCAACGTATCATGCTATGAGTCTTGACCAAGGTTTTAATTTGCGCAGTAGAACTAATGTAAAATGATATATAAATGTAAAATGATGCCTCTTCAGTGTGGTATTTAAGTTGCAAGAGAAATTACATATAACTGTTCAGGTCTTATTGGGCTCACACAAACTATTTGAAAATCGTTCTTACAAAAAATACTTACACCCATCAATATTTATTTTAATTTGAGTTAATAAAACCAGTTTTTATTAACCAGTTTAATTTCAAACTACTTTTTTAATGCATTTTAGTATTGATATCACAACTACAGTCTGTGTAATTGATAGAATGTCGAGAATATGTGGAAAAATGGAGACAGAATTAGGTCTGCATTTTCTGAATGGAATTGGATTCTGGAAAGTCTTTTGTTTGAATAACAAAGAAACAGCTTTAAAGATGATGGAAGAACATGGATTCAATTTCACTTCAGAAACTTCAGAGGATGAATTTGAGACTCTCTTTCAAGGTATACGAAAAAAAAACATTGCTTTATTGATTTGTTTCTGAATATAATTTTTTTTTTAAAACTGCATTTAAATTAAAAGTATTTTCTTCTGTCAAAGCAACATTTTTGAAAACATCACCTTTTATCTGAGATGGAAGAATACCGAAACGTTTACCTGCAGCGATGATGAATTGTTTTTGTTGATTAGTAGTATTGCTCGAATAATTATAGGAATAAAGAAGAATAAGTCTTAATTTCAGTAGTATTAAACGTTATCGGTAATTGCATGCCATTTAATGTGCCTAGTTCCTTTCGTGCGAAATGACCAATTTTCAATTACGGCTGACGGATTTAAGCTTAAAAATTGCAACTCAAATGTGGCACTAAACGTGGCCAGAGGAATAAAAAAAAACTAGCTACTATTGTTGTATAAATCTTATTTAGTAACGGATTTCAGTATTATTTGAGGCTTATAAATCTTTTTCACTCTACTTTTCCGCCCTAAACGGCATCTCAGATATTTACGAAAATACTTCAGATGGTGATTAATTATAATTTTGTAATATTCCTGGTTATAAAATAGCATAAGCAGTTCACCATGTAAGAAAAAAAGACCATTCTGACATTTTACGTGTCCCGACATGTCGGCAATACCATTTTCATACTTTACATTTATTAGTAACATTTACATTTAAAAAAAAACTTGTCTAGAATGACGCTAAAAATAAAAACTTTAGGGATAAATTGTCGAGAATTAAATTAAAAAATAAAATCAATACTATTTAAGCTCAAAAAAATACTTTCAAATCATCACTAAAGAGAGTACACAACAAAAAGCATTAGAATATATATATATATANTATATATATATATCCAGATTTTCTCGGTTGTGACTCGTTTTGATTTTGTGTTAACAACTTTATTTCTTACTTTATTATTCGACCATTTATGTGTAACTTTACCTTCGGTATAAATTATTTTTTAGTGTTCCCATTGAGCTATTTTTCCACAATCTGGTAGTTTTGACTATGCTTTTATTCTCTGTCTATAAATAAAATTTTAATACTGAATCCAAATTTAAAAAAATATAAATTACTTCTTCCCTGTCATAATTTTCTATAAAATCTCATATTTTACCCTTACTCGCATTAAATTATAAAAAATATATTAATATTGTCATATTGTTTAATATTGTCATACTCGGTAATAAATGAAGGATAATTTTAATTATTTCTCACAATATTAAAATTCGTAGATGACTTCCTTTGTTTTAGCAATATTCATATCCTTAATATTTTTATATTTATATTTTAGATAAATCGGCCAGTTACGGAACAAACAAAGATATGTGCTTAAGTAACTATAAAAATTTCTGTCAAAATCCAGGGGATTTCATAGAGGATTTTCCAGAAAATTCTGATGATCTGTCTGCAAGATGCGCGTAAGATAAAAGAGATCATTAGTAATTTATTGAACAGCAAAAGTAATCTAAGGGAGACATATGATATCGATCCCATTGTGCAAGTTTCAGGAAAAGTGCTATTTTAGATCCTTTAGTATCTTATTAAACTGCAGACTTTCTAAGAAATTCTGCACTTTTTATCTTATTTTTCCATGAACTGCAATAAAAAAACCAATGTATTTTTCCAACTGCTGCAGTAGAAAAAAATACTTACTCTGGTGAAAAATCTCTTATTTTGAACTATATATACCATCTTATCGCTCGTATTTATCTGGGCTTAAAACAGACGGATAGCTTAAAATTAATGATATAAAAGCACTTTTGTGGAAATCGCCATCGACTTGAATCAAAATTATCTAAATCGATGACTGATTCAAAATTTTTCCAAATTTTAATGAGCCTAGAGCATGTGATGGAGTGATTCATAAAAAAATAAGTCACACACATTTTTCTTCACAAAACCGCGGCGCTTCTTCTTCTTGACGTTTTGCAACATTTTCATATCTAACATAGCATGCGTTGGTAAAAACTAGCTAAATCTTAACATAATATAAATGAATTAATGTTACTAACTCAGACCAGTTTTGAAAATAGCATACATTCGAAGTAAAAAACAATTAATTTCTCAAATCTCGACAGGGTTTTTGATAGGCAATCTTAATAATCGACCCAGTATCTGAAAAGAAATCTATAAAATATGAACATTTGTGCTGTTGCGCCTCTAAGACGTATAGGGTCTAGTAACATTGTCCAACGTTCTCCCTTCGAGAAATTTCTATGTAATAGCGATATTATATATGATTTGTGCACGGATTCGGTTTGTAATATAGTCACCTTTTAAACTTTCCAAATTGGACGTTTGTTTATTTATAATTTCTCTTATAAATAAGACAAGATGTTTATTTATAATTCTTTCAACATTTGCCCTTCAATAGATTAGCTTGATCTCTAGGAAATAGGAAACAGCACAATGCGTAAGAGGCTTTAAGACAATAGGAAATATATCAGCATTGTTTATATTACATTTAATCAAAATTTTAAGAAATGGTTAAATAAAAGTGATTGCTCCTCGATTGGAGTGGTTAAACATGGATCTGCGATTTACTAAACTACTTTTGTAAAATGCTTAAAATCTACATTAATATGTGGTGGTTCCGTAAGCATCTGATCAAAAGGATATATACAGTTACAGAGTAGAATTTTTTTTCAGAGCTCATATAAAGTACAAAGAGTGTTTAATTGATTACGAGCAAAAATGTGGGGAGAAAATACATGGAATGTCACTCCATGAAGATTTAGAAACTCTGAATACCTTTTGTGACGAAAAGTCCGTTTTGTTCCATGGTAAGAATATTAATTTTCTCTTCTAATCACGATGTTTGACATATTGTCTTTTTATTTCTAAATTTTATATAATATATTTGGTATCGGAAAATGGTCCTATTTGTTTTTGTTCTTCACTTAGAACCCATAATATCAGCTATTACTTTTTAATTCAATCATTCTTCAATGTTAAATATACTCTGTCTTAATTTGATTTTGATTTCAGAATTTTATATGATATATTAGGTTTTGTAAATTGGTCTTCTTTTTTGTTCTTAACTTATAGCGCATAGTAAACGGATAAAAAGAGAAATTTTTTCTTAAAATTTACTTCCAAATAATAAGGGATTGAAATTATCTTACTAAATTCTAATACACAAAAGACTCCAAAGCTCCATATTGAATTTCTTAAAATTAAATTACAACTTACAAAGGACTCAAATGATCTGGAATGAGGTTTTTTAAATCAATAAATTCAATTCACTAGATTCATGAGACCTAAAATGGAATGTAAGGAGGCCCTTAAATTTATGAATAACTTTTTAAGTAAGCAAAAAATAAATAAACATTATTTTTTTAAGTTTACTTGAGAGTTCGCCTTCAAGCAAGGCAACCCAGGTTTGAATTCCAGTGACGGTTTGTTCTGCTCATATTTTACTGCATGTGAAGGGTTATAAGTTTAAGTATTATCAAATTCAAGATATTTATAAACATATTATGCCAGCGAATATAGATATAACGCCTAAATATTATATATTTAAATAAACATAAAGCAGCCTTGGCCTGTGAAAGGCTGTTGCGCTTATGAAGAAGAGGAAGAAGTAACGTAAATATTATATATTTAAATAAACACAAAGCAGGCTTTAACAATAATTATCTATTATTAGGTACCAGAATTTCATATTGTTGCACCTGTATGGGGTACTAGAAAAAATTACAACCATTTTATATAATTAACATATAAGAAATATAATCCATCCATATAAAAATGTTTGCATGCATTTGAAAACAAATTTTGTATTTGTTTTTGTTCTTCACTTAGAACCCATAATATTAGCTGTTACTTTTTAATTCAATCATTCTTCAATGTTAAATATACTCCGTCTTAATTTGATTTTGATTTCAGAATTTTATATGATATATTAAGTTTCGGAAAATGGTCTTCTTTTTCGTTCTTATAACCCATATTATATGTATGAAAAAAATTTTTTTTTTAAAATATTGATTAAAGAAATAAAGGATTGAAGTTATCTTTCTAAATTGTAACTCACAAACGACTCCAAAGTTCAAGAATGAATTTTTTAAAATTAAATTCCAACTTATAAAAGATTCAAATGATTGAGACTGAAATTTTCCAAATCAAAAAATTCAATTCACTAGATTCAAGAGACCTATAATAAAATGTAACGGGGCCCTAAAATTTATAAAAAAATTTTTAGTAAGCAAAACAGAAATAATCTTGATATTTTTAAATTTACTCAAGAGCTTGAGCGTTCGCTTTCCAGAGAGGAGATCCAGGTTCAAATTCTAGTGACGGCTTGCTCTGCTTAGATTTTACTCCTTGTTCGGGGTTACAAGCTTAGGCATTATCTAACTGAAGATATTTATAAACATATTATGCAAGCAAATATAGATATAACGCCTCCTAGAGATAAAAAATATATTTATGAATAAACAGAAAGCAGGCTTTAAGAATAATTATCTATTATTAAGTACTAGAATTTTATATTGTTGCACCTGCATATGGTCATAAGTTCAATTATCATGCTGGATAAAAATTGAAACTGTTTTAAATTTTCATGGATATAAAAAATATAATTTATCCAAATAAATGTTTTGCATGTACATGAAAACAAATTTTGTAACTTGATATTTTAATGTTGCAGCATTGTCAGATAAGGGCAAATGTTTCAATAAATGTTATCAAAATTATGAAAAAGATGCCGAAGATAGAGTTTACAGTTGCATTGATGAAATAAAAAACAAATACCCTGAGAAATATGAACTGGAACGCAATCAACGATATCGGAAATCTTATAATATTAGATCCTGTTTGTAAGTACCTTCCTTAAAAAATCATCTAAATCTTCCTAAAAATCCTAAGTACTCATCCTTAAAAAATCATAATATATCAAGGTAATAACATTAATTTTATGCTAATATAGTTAAAGTATACTTTGAGCTACGAGCGAATAAAGCAATTATAACACAAGCACACGCATGTAGTAGTTGCGACATTATAATAATCCTTACTCAGGGTCGGAACACAGAATGAGTCAACGACTCATGCTATGGAAAACACAGACTACTCCTTTTGGCTCTCTCTGTGACATTCTGGTTAAACACTAATTCATACGAATGAAATTAAGGTATACTCTGTGCGACGTGGGAATAAAGCTAAACAGCTTGAATAAAGCTTAATTAAAGACACAAAACGCGCATACTATAGTTTTGTCCCTGTTGTAGTTTTTGTTACTTATGCTACTTGTCTACCAGGAACCCTGCTTGAAATCAATCGAAATTTTTAAGACAGGGAGTGCATTTTTTTTTTTCAGTGGCACCATCTATGTTTAAGAATACGACTTAAGACAAACATGCCACAATCTGTTTTACTTAACCTATCATACTACATTCATTCATCCGCAGATCGTAAATGTGACCTGAATAAGAGAACGACCAATCTCTAATTCAGTACTCCCAGAGGCATTGATTTGGTATGGGAATTCAGAGGATTTGAGTCCCCAACAGATTTAACGTACACCAGTCACCATTTGAAAAGTGGGGCTTCCACGGCTGGTGGGATTGAAACTCCTATTCTCACGAACACGAGCCCATCGTCCTACCAACTAGGCTATCTCGACCAACATAGTCTCTAAAATCAAAAGCCTTTTTGAAATTGAGCCAACGCCTGTTAAATTATGAGTTAGCGTTCATTATTTTATGAAATAATACAGAATAATCATTTACTGTCTCTTTAATTTGATAAAATGAAATTGGGGCATAATTCGTGCTACGCTAGAAAGAAGCTTTTGTGGCACGAAAGGAGAGATACTTTAGTTTTTTTTTCTCCAAAAACAAAATTCTACCTCATCTTCGGAATACAAAATGAATTAATGTTTGTGATTTTATGAACCCATATATATTATTACCAAAACAGAATAGTAATTCAGGAAAGCATCAATTTTTCAAGTACAATTCCGGTTTACTTTCAAAAACTTGTGAATATGTCTAAACAGCTTGAATAAACCTGAAATGGAGGCACAAAAGCAGATATACTATAGTTTCGATTCTATTAACAAGAACCTTCCTTAGAGTCAGAACGAAGAATGAGCCAACGTCTATTATTATACGATACAAAGAGCAGTTATTATCGCATACTTTGATGAACTTTCGCATATGAAGTTAGGATGATTATGTTATATATTGAATTAGAATACAACGAATTAGGATATTGCTACACATGAATAAACCTTAGTAACACGAATAAAGCTCAAATAGGAGCACAAAATCAGAAATACTATAATTTCTTTTCTATAAGAAGGATCCTTTCTCAAAGTCAGAACAAATAATGAGCCAACATCTCCTACTATACGAAGCACAGAATAGACATTCTCGCATATTCTGGCACAACATTTATTTTTGCATATGAGATTAGGATAATTAGGACATATAGAGATCGAATTAGAGTATTAGAGTGAATTAGGATATTACTATACATGGATATATTTAAACTACGAATAAAGCTCAAATAGACGACAAAATCAGACGCACTATAGTTTTGTATCTATAAACAAGAACCTTCCTTCGTGTCGTATCATAGAATAAGCCAACGTCTATTATCTTATGAATCAATGTCTATTATGCTACGAGCCAACTTCTGTTTTTTTCTTCTTTTTTTTGCCGTATGCCTGCTTTAGGCAGTGGGGGTTCGATTGTTCCTGTTTTTCAGTGGCGCCATCTATGACCAGGAATTCGACTTCCGCCACGCTATTCACACAACCACTACCCATTTATAGGGCGGGTCACATTCACACACAAATGAGAAAGGACATAGAACACACACAGAGAGAAAGAAACCTCCATGCCTTGTCCGGGATTCGAACCCAGGACCTTTCTGATGCAAGGACAGTTCCCCGCCCCCTACACAGGCCGGTCGGCCCAACTTCTGTTATTGTACGAAATAGAAATTTATAATTTTGTGTTCGACACTGAGAAAAGTTCGTGTTCATAGAACCGGAACTTTAAAATGTATGTTTTCCATTACATAGTATGTCTGTTATTTTGTCATCATGATTTTTTATTTTCGTTATTTTTTTTTTATTTATTTACTTATGATGAAATTTTACAACTATTTCATTATTTTGTACTTTTTTTTTAATTTTTTAGTGATGATCTCTTAATGGCGAAGTGCCTAACTGAAGTAATATCAGAAGATTGTGGAGAGACAGCAAAAGAATTAATGTTGCAAGCCTTAAAAATCAACAAATTGAAGTACACCATGTGTAGAGATTTTCCAAAGGAAGCTGAGCTTTTTATGAATGAATTAGATTTCAGTTTGGAACCACAATGTCCACTTGAGGATTTAACTAATCGTCTTGAGAACGAATCTGAAATAGTTTAAGATGGAGAAAATTCCCTAAAAATTAATAAAAAAAAGTACTTTTTTTCTAAATCTTATAACTGCACTTTAGAAACAGTACAGTAAAAATCATTATACTGAAACAATAGTTTTTGTTTTATTGTATCGATAGAAATTTCTTTTTCATTATTCTAATGTTTGTCTAAGTGTCTTTAATTAAGCTTTATTAAATTTTTCTGTGTAACTTTTTAGTTTTATTCCTAAGATACTAATAAGGAAACGAAGTTGCCAGGTGCACAAAACAAAAGTATAGCTCTGTTGTAGAAGCGTGGATTTTGTTCACGTTAGCAACTACTCTTTTCATTTAATTTCGAATAAACCAAGCGTTTCAAGTATTAATTCTCTTAGGTGACACATTTTATATTCTTTCACAAAGATTTCAATTCTTTTAATATATATTTCTTACTTAACACAAAGAGAGGTAGAGCATAAACAAACTAATTATGCATCGAAGTTGTCAGGGACACGAAACAAAAGTATAGCACGGCTACACTAAAATACATAAACAAATCATAAATATAAGTTAAATAAAAGACGCAGACGAGAAAAAATTATATTTCAACAATTTCCATGTGTGATACGGAGCTGTATTAAACCTACTTCACGTTAATGAACATTCCAACTTCACGTTAATTAACATTAATAATTTATGGGGATTTACTTAGCTCAACTTTATTACGCCATTTTGCAAGCGATCAGCTGTCTCTGATGTCATAGGTCACATGTGTGGAGATTGGTGATCTTCTTTTTATTGAAATGCAAGTACCCAATTGCAAATATACAGCGTACGAAAATAAAGCAACTCTGTAAAATTTGCCAATAGAATAAAAAGCTAATATAAATATTTTGTTCTCTTTTTAGCAATCAGTGTAGTGGCGAACTGTTTTTATTTCTAATGTAAAACTCATTAATTCACTGTCGCGACTACATCGAAAACAAAATCTATTTATAACTCTTTATTCTTTATTTCTTAACACAGAATTGTTTCAGTTACATGGTTATACTAATTCTCACTTTATTTTTAGCTTTCACCAGTTTATTTTCCAATTTAATATTAATTACTGACATATTGAAGATATACGTATTATTGTTTTTGGCTATTTTATCTTTCGATTAATCGCCAACCATTGATCTATTCCCATCCTCTTAACAGTCCATTGGGAACAATGTATTTTACTTTTAATTTCGATCTCGCTAGTCCCTAGCTCAAATTTTACAATGTCTGGTATCTCCTTGTGATTTTAATGTGCTTAAACTAAAGGATTTGCTTCTTTATGCCAACAACAGGAGACTGGTTGTCTTTTAATGTAAAATATTGAAAAATCGAACTGTATTAAAAGCTAATACTAAAATTTGAGTGAAGCAATAATTATGCAAGGCAAAAAAAATTCTTTTCTAAAAGACATTGTTAAATTTTAACAAGCATTTTTTTTATAAAATAATTATAGTAATCTGAACTTGCTCATTAATTAAAAAAAGTATTAAAATGATTGCTTAATTTTAATATTAGATTTCAAGTTCAACTTAGCTTTTTATTCAGTTGTATCACAACTTTGTCTATAACTTCACTTGTTGCATATTTTCTTGAAAATAGGATTTTTCTTATGCACTATCTTTTTGTGGTTTCACTGATCTATGTGAGAGATGTTGTTTTCATGCGCATATTATTACTGAAAAGAAATATATAAACTTTAAATTATGCTATAAGCGCTTATTTTGCTTTCTAGCATAGACGGTGGCTAAATTTTTATTTTACATATTAGAAAATGATATTATGTTTTTCAGTGAGAGTTCAAACTTTAACACAAATTTGAATGAATGAAAATATATCATTTACCAACTTAAAATGCAATATTATTCTTATTATTTTCAATAAACTATCTGTGCAACGTAAAACAAGAAACGGCAGTCACCAGAATCCTGAAAATTAGAAGTAGTAGAACCATATTGCTTTTTACAGATAAAAGATGAGAATGTTATCTGTTAGTATGCGGACAACTTTTAATTACCACTTTTCATCAAGTGCTATTCATACATCTTAATTTACTTGCAAATATTTTACGTGACCAGATTTCACGTTAGCCTGTTTGAGAAAAACTCATAAATTATTGATAATAAAAATGGAAATTTATTACAAAATAGTGAAAAGTTTTTAATTTATTTGAAACAGTTAAAACGAATTTTGATTTTAGCTGTTCTTTTGCTTTTTTAGGACAAACATTTCTTGGCTTTTATCAAAAACCGTTTGCAAAAAATTTGTATAATTTTATGTAAAATGAACTGAATTCAGGGTTTTAAAGAGAATATAAATAAAGTAATCTTTGCATTTTAATTAATATTAAAGAACTTAATTTGGAAATGGATTCTAAACATTGGTTAATTATTGGAAATTGAGTGAGATGTATGTGTTTTAGCATTGTCTCAATATAAATTCTTTTTCATTACTCTAATGTTTGTCTTAGTGTCCTTCATTCAGTTTTATTTAAATTTTTAGTGTAACTTTTTAGTTTTATTCATCAGGCAATAAAAGTTGACGCACCGATATTTCAAACCATGAAAAAGACTTAAGAAATAAAAACTTTTTAGAGGAATAGAGAAAAAAACTGTAAAAAACGTGTACAGAATTGTAAAATTAGCATTGATTTCTGAGATGACTTTCACAGAATTTTTGTTTTTAACATTTGATAATATATAAAAAGATAAACTGGTTACTTTTTTTATTGGAATAAGTGCATTTAATTGTATACCTGCAAGTGACGTAGTGTGGGTATCTTGATCCTGATTGGTTGCTGAAATGCTGCTTTTGTTTACGTTAACAACTGTTCTTTCCATTCTATTTCGAGTAAATCCAGCGTTTAAAGTATCAATTCTCTAAGGTGACGCATTTTATATTCTTTCACAAAGATTTCAATTCATTCAATGTATATTTTTTACTTAACACAAAGACGGGTTGAACATAAACAAACTAATTATGCATCAAAGTTGCCAGGTACACAAAAGAAAAGTATAACAGGGTTACATTAAAATACACAAACAAATAAATCTAAGTTATATATGGACGTAGACGAGAAAAAATGATATTTCAGCAAATTTAATGTGTTATACGGAGCTGTACTTAATCAACTTCACGTTAATTAACATTCTCACTTTTGTGGAGATACTTAGCTCAATTTTAATCCGCCATTTTGCTTATAAACGCTCTGCTAGCACTGATGTCATAGGACACATGTGTGGGTATTGTGATCTTCTTCTTCTTGGGGCAAGTATCCAATTGCGAATATACAGCAAACGAAAATAAAGCAACACTATAAAATTTGCTAATTTGATAAAATTGTGAATTTCTCTCAGAAAATATAATGAGATGTCATGGTATATGTGATGCCCCAATAGGCATTACATATTTCCAGCCTTTAAAATTCCTTTGATGCTTTAAATTAATTTTTAATTATTCTTAATCGAATTTTAATTAAATTAAACCAGTTAGTCGATTCTTATTACATTTTATGAAAAGCTAATATAAATATTTTACTCTCTTTTTAGCAATCAGTGTAATGGCTAACTGTTTTTATTTCAAATATAAAACTCATTAATTCCCTGTCACGACTAAATTAAAAACAAATTCCATTTATAACTCTTAATTATTTATTTCTTACCACAAAAATATTTTGGTTACATAGTTATACTAATTCTCACAGTTTTTTGGCGCATAGCTTTCGCCAAATTATTTTTAAATTTAATATTGATAACTGATATATTGAAGATATACTATTGTTTTTGGCTAGTTTATCTTTCGATAAATCGCCAACCATGGATCTATTACCATCCTCCTAACTGTCCAATCAGAACAATTTACTTCACTTTTAATTTCGAATTATTGGTGATAGGATTGGGGGCTTCGACCATACAGTCGAAACCATTGAATTCTTATCTTTACAGAAATTTTTGATGAGAGAACAGGAATGATTCGTTTGATTGCCTTAAGAAACTTTCTTTTCATTATTTTAAAATTTTGGAATGTGGTCATGTTCATTATAATAAGACTTATATAATAAATAAATTTTTCTTTAACGATTTTTTTTTATTTTCCTGGGATCCCTTCTTCATAACCAAAACTAGGATGTATTTCACGCGGCTTAAAATTATTCTTGAATTACAGAGAAATTACACCCACTGTAGAGTAAAGAATTTGAACTAAATTGCTATGAAAGTGGGCGTGATTTAAAGACATGAAGTTCTAATTTTTCCTCGGAGAATTATTTTTTATATATTTATTTGTTTTACATTTCCACTTATTTTTTCTGTTCTTCGTGGTAGAGTCAGTTAATAGCTTCCTCTGAACAGATTTTCTGTTTAAGTAGAACGGTCCACAATTTGCATGTGTTAGAGAATATCATTCTTAAAAGGAGTGGTGATAATATGGGTAATAGGTTAATTTCTTCTTATAATGGTTTTAATATGGGCTAATTTCCTTTTAATAAATGTGGAAAGGATCATTCCAGTCTCCTTCAATTTGTCAGAAGATTTTCCTTTATTTTTGAGTCATAATTATCCTTTTTTTCTTGGAAATAACATTGTCTGAAAGCGCCGATATAAATTGCATGTTAAATAAGTGAAAGAAAACACGATATGCAAATGAGAGATAAAATATTTCGTTGCTGACCAATAATTTGGATTTTCTTAATTTCACTCAATTAGCATTTTTTTGGTAACCGGATTTTTTATAGGAATATCTGTTCAGCTTACCCATTTTACTTTATTTGACGCGTAGTAGAAAATGTCAAAGGTTGCGGAAAAGGTACCAATTTCAAATAATTTATATCATGCAATTGAAAAAATTGACAATGTACGAACATCAATGTTTTTGAAATGTATTTGGCTGACCAATAATTTCACTAATTCATAAAAAATTAAAATTTTCTAATTTCAATCTTTATCATGATGTTGAAAACTCCAGCCCTTAAAATTTATTTTCTGGATGAAAACCATATTGATAATATGAACAATGCTTACTTGTAAAGTTAATTTCACAAGTTTGATTCCTAAATTACGTGACGTAGTTCCATTTAGGTGTAAATTAAATTTGAGAACTACTTTAGTTTATGTCTATTATTCATAATTAAGTGAAAATAAACAAAAATACCTTGCTCTTTTAATGCTTTTTTTCATAATATATTTTTCAATAAATGCTTGATGATACAATTCAATACAATAACAAAAGCTATATTTTTATTGATGACCTTGGCTGATATTTTAAATACACAGCTATAATCTGAATAGTTCAGTTCAATCATGTTCATAAACTTTTTTTTTAAAATGGGGCAAAATCATGCAGACTCTATTCATAAGAATAATATTAATTATGATTTATATAAACTTACATCATAAATTCATGTCATAAATTTAGATTAAAAA